CAGAGTATGTCAATATGGTCCTTTCCAAAATTTACAATATACTTCCAACTGTCCATAAGCAACCAATATTTGGTAAACCTCAGATTGTCCTTGACAATTGCTTATCCATTTTAGTCATATCTCGTTCTAGTCCCTTTTCCCTCTTAATGCCCTAGGCATTTGGAAAATTAGAACGGATTAATATTATAGTATATGTAATCGATCCTATATCTGAAGCATATGGAGCACGATTCATAAAGACATGATACTTTGCCAGTCTCTTGCTATAATATTTCCATATATAGAATTTCCTTATGTTGAATCATTTCAACATAACATTCACATATGTCCATGACTAAATTCGATTAAAATCTCAATCTAAGCTTTTACATTCGAAATGAAGTATGAATTCCTCTCCCTTAATTATAGAAAAACAACTTTTCAATCCCTGCAACTTTGCGAATTGAAACTTTTTGTTTTCTATAATTAACATTGCTAACTCGCAACACTTACCATAATAATTATGCTTCCACTAGCATAATAATTATTATCTTACTAGCATAACACTTATGCTCCCACTAGCTTTGACATGTACCCAGAAATCAACTGGACTTCTAGAAATCAATACTTATTGACTTTCTTACAAAAGTTCAGATTTCTGATACGAGATGCTTCGATAATACTTTATCTAGGCTTCTCAAATTCATACACCATTCCTTAGATAGCTCACATGTGTATCTAAACAATTTTAGAACTTACATCCATAAGTCTGAAATGTTTAGACCTTTGCCATTTCTCACAATTCGAACTATGAAGAGGGATGTCGTAATCATAATCGAATTTGAGAATGCAAATGACACAATTGCTATCTCTTTAAATCTACTTAGTGAAAGCGTTTCCTCACAATCATTTTCATGAATTTGAGAGAAACCTTATGACACTTAGATTTTTATGGTGTATGTGTTCCTATCCATGTAAATTCATCATAACCATAATCACAAGACAAGGTTAGTGACAAATCCAATCTCATATGGACTGAACTTGTTCAATCTTAATTTCATGCCACCTGGCAGCACAAGGGCCTACCATTGCTTCCAGGTTGTTATGCAAACAAATGCGAACTCATAGAACTCACATGCATAGTCAACTTAACTGGAATGGGCAAAGAAACAAGAATATGTCAACACGATAGGTTCCAAACGTCAAGTCGTGTGCTAGTGATAAACAATAGGGTTACTCTTGATCAGTTCTTGAAACTTTTCAAGATCTTTAATACTCCCACTGACCTCTTGACATACAAGATTCCCTTTGTCAAGGAACATTACTTGACAAACAAATATTCAAGAGTTAGTGCGGTTTCTTATCAAGACAAACACTTCACATAATTGGTCTTAGTTGGTCTTTGTCTTATCCAAGACATCACAACTTACCAATTTCAAATGTACAAGAGTAAGAAACATTTTACTCTACATTTGATAACTGTTATAAACCTTTCTTAAGATTATGTCACTCAAGGCACAATCTTGGAGTGCAACTCTAAGACTTGATTTTGGAAGGAAGTATGATTCATCTATTTGATTTAACCATTTGTACAATCCACGATTCCTCTTCTTAGCCATACAAATGCACTAAGATTTCCTTAGAGGATTAATTGTTATATGGTTTTCATAATCATTAAGATGATCATAAAACACGATACTAAAGTACTCTCCCTTCTTCTCAGATTGGAGAAACTTTTATCTTTCTGCCTAATTTGATTCTTCTTATTCGTTCTGCTATACATTGAAATGTTTCCAATGATTCAGAATTACACTTAATCTTGTAAGCATAACCATATTTACTAAACTTGTAGTAAATCATAACGAATAGTCTTATTGCTCTTTGTGGTGGACGTGACCAGCGCACAACCAAGTGTACCTGATCCCCTAGTCCTTCCCTTGACTCACATATACATGTGAACAAGGAACCAGTCTAAATTTCCCAAAGACGAAGTTCTCATTCATCACACAATACAAGTTGCATGATTCCAAGTTTCTATCCAACTGAAACTTAGGTGATGAGAATCTTTCCTTATTTGGTAAATCTTGACACTACCACAAACGAAAGAATCAAATCCATTTTCCAATATTGCTATCAATGGATACATATTAGCAACAATTTTCACAAATGCCATTGTAAGGAAACTTAAAATAAGATAAATTTCAAAAATTTTCTTAATTTATAAAAATTGCAGAAAACTTATCCTTACAATGGAAATACATATGAAAACTATGTTGTTATCTATTCCTAAGCAATCTATCATAACTCTTAAGCAGCAGCTCAAAATTTTGATCATCGAACCATGCGATCGAAATCCATATCTTCACGATTAGAATCAGCTTACTCTTCCTTTAAGCTTCCTTTCATTTCTTCGATTCTACAAAACATCAAATGGAATTACATTACATCATGTATTAGGAATCTCCAAATAGGAACTTAATAGAGTTATATAGTGGACTTACCTGAAGCAGAGTCAAACTTTTTGACTTTACCATCCTTGCGATCTTTCAGGTGAATGTGGTAGCTTCGCAACTAGTGCCCGTTCTCTTGGCAATAGAAACATATGGACTATTTGGGAATGGTAAATGGGACTATCTCAAACTTAGCCTTTCTCTTTACCATTTGGTCAAATGACTTGACCATGGCCGATCCCTTTCCATTGGGAAGAGAAAGCTTTTCTGGACTTCCAATGTTGCCATTGTCAATGTCCATGGAAGTTTGGGGAGTAGACCTTCCAATCAAATTTGCTTTACCAGTGCAGCAAATCATTGCTGATTCAGCAGCAACAAGCAAATAAGTAAGATCGATAAGGGTCATGTCGTGGTCTGTCATATAGTAGTCCTTCATGAACCCGCTATATTACTCAGGAAGTGATTGAAGAACCCAGTCAACAACCAACTTCCTTGAGACTTCGACACCCAACTCTCCCAGCCTGTCAATATGTAACTGCATCTCCAAGATGTTGGCACATACAGACTTCCATCTTTGTGTTTGCTTGCTAATAGGGCTTGAGTGACCTTAAAATTTTCAAGTCTTTGAACTTGTGGTTAGGGAGAATAATTGGAGGAGGTGGAGGAAGTGAAGTATGATTTCCAGTCCCATTAATGCACGACAAAGGGATTAATCTTTCACCTTAATCGCCATGTGGGATATCATCTTCGTTAGAAAGCTTTTTCCAAAAAAAGATAAGGAAGACCATAGTTGTCAGAACTAGACATCTATGAGGGATAAATTCAAGTTAGTTGATTTAACTCCTTAATATATCAGCCAAAACGAAATATTAAGGCTAGGAACCTACACAATATTCTACAATTACGAAAAGGGATGCCGTAATCCAATTGTAGAATATTTGAAGGTAGGTAAATGACGATTTACCAATTTCCACCATGAAAAACGAATGGATTATTATGTTTTAATTGGATTTGAAATTCCTAGATCCTTTGAGATTCACTAAACTTTTTAATGGCATGTTTAGATCTCGATTGTGCCCTTCAAGTTTGTGACTGGGATGCCGAGGATCACAAACAAGGAACCAACACAATATTCTACAATTACGAAAAGGGATGCCGTAATCCAATCGTAGAATATTTGAAGGTAGGTAAATGACGATTTACCAATTTCCACCATGAAAAACGAAATGAATTATTAAGTTTTAATTGGATTTGAAATTCCTAGATCCTTTGAGATTCACTAAACTTTTCAATGGCATGTTTAAATCTCGATTGTGCCCTTCAAGTTTGTGACTGGGATGCCGATGATCACAAACAACGTGTGAATAACCATGCAAATTACCTTGGTACACCCAATGTTACATATCACCTAATCAATGTGTCGGTTAACCACACACACTCCATTTATCTATGATTAACATCAAGTTACCCTTTGCCACACATTGTCAGTCCCAGATTAGTGTGCCGGTTAACCACACACGCTCCACTAATGACATAACAAGGTGCAAAGTGTAATTTTATGGATTAGCACCATTTTCACATTTTTCCTAAGTAACTAAGATTGGGAATTTATAAGTGTTTAGTTACTTGGTATTTTCATTATACTTTTAATGAGAATTAATGTCCTATCCTACCCGTTCGGCTAACGACCCTCCACCAGTCAAGGAAGCGGTGAGTGAGAGTGGACACCCATTAAACCACCATTTTATAGGCAGTAACCTTATACCCCCCTTATAGATCGGCTTCGTAAATGAGGCCTACTAACGGTAATACCGACTTTTTACTTATACATATAATATATTAAACTCACTACAACAAAATGAGGCTAATGCAAGACCTCTAAAAGGTTGCATTAGGCCTTAAAAAAGTTGCATAATGCCTAAGCAACCTTTTATCAAAGGTTGCATTAGGTAAAGTTGCATTAGATCTAAAGCAACTTTTTTCTTCGAAAATGCAACCTTTTTTGAGAAGTTGCAAATCTTTTTTAAATGCAACTTTTTTTATTGCAGCGTGTGTTAGGCAAAAGCAATCTTTTTAATACTCATATGCAACTTTTTTACACTCAGATGCAACTTTTTTAACTGTTTTAGTTACTAAAATGCAACTTTTTTTATAATCAAATGCAACCTTAATTATGTTTTCTAATAAAGAATTGCAACCTTTCTATATGACATATGCAACTTTTGTTATGTCTTTAATTGCAAAAAATGCAAGTTTGTTTATAGTCAAATGCAACTTTCTTTTTGTGATTTTTCTAATTTCAATGCGACATTTTTCCCTAATCATAATCATAATCATATAGACGTCACATATGTTTACTACATTGCTACAAATATTCATTACTACTAAAATTACACCATAACAATAATAACAAAAATATATTATATAATTTTTTGGTCTCTTTTGACATGTCTAAATTCAAAATAACCATAAATAAAAGTCAACAAAAAAATTGTCAACTATAGTTACAAAAAAAAGTATTAAAAACATTCTAGACGTGTATTGAACATAGACGATAAATCATATTAGCAACTATCGACCTTCTCGAGGTTGTTGTTCCGCTAACTTTCGCATCATGGCTTCAAGGTTTTGTTGTTGGTTTTTAATATCTATTCGCATAGCTTCTAATTCGGCCTGTTTTTTTTCATGGTCCTCTTGAATCTCTTTCCGCATTTCAATCAACTCATTTCTTTCAACTTCATTTGCTTTGAATGATTCCATAAGTCCTGCCGGAATCATGTATGATGCATCACTACCACCCACTTTTTTTTATCAATCTATTAGTAACGCCTCTACCATAAAGTCGACGGTATCCATCATTCTCTTTTTTCATCACAATCATATAAGGATCTACGGCATCACTTTCGTCTTCTAGATGTTCGTACTTCTTCATTAGTTCCTACAAGATTAATAAGATGAATAGGATAATTTTACTAAAGCATCTACCATTAAAAAGTTGTTTATATTGTAAAAAACTGCATTTAAATGTAGAAAAAACAGTTTTTTATTGTGTAAAAGACAGTTATTTGATGTCCAAAAATCTGCTATCAAAAGACTATTTTTATGTAAAAAAAACTGCATTTTAACATCTAAAAAAACTGCATTTTAACATAAAAAAAAACTGCATTTTACCATATAAAAATTTGCAATTTAACGTCTAAAAACAGCAATTTAACGTCTAAAAATATAGTTTACTATCAAAAGGAATATTCTCTTGTAAAATTGAAATACAAACTTACAATTTTATTTGCCGTGTCATCATATGTATCGACATATACACGCCCATCTGTCCTTTTACGTGTACGTTCAAACATTTGACTTAGAGTTGGGAATTCCTTGTTTGGATCTTCATTTTTCTATATTCATGATAACATAGATATCAACAAGAAAGTATCAAAGTGTGGGAAAAAAAACACAAATCACAAGCAAAAGAAGACATTAATTACCATCTCGTCACGAATTCTAGCAAAACGTTTTGGACCAGCCGTGTGCATATTTTTTAGAGACTTGCGTATTTCTTTTGCCTGCAAATAACGCTTCTACAAACACATTAATATATAAAACTCAACTGACCAAATACACCTAAAGAGAAATCAAATGTTAACAAACACTAGTAATAAAGAAAATGTTTTTGAAATTACCGCCACATCTTTTTTATTCCATAACACTAATAGTTTTGAGAACTCTTCTTAAGGAATGCATTCAGGTCGATTCTTCCATCTTGTTTTATTGTCCTTAAATTGATAGAAGTGTTTTTTCTTGAACCTACATTTGTATACCTTATACAAATTTCCAATTGTCCTAAGAACCCAAGTTTTAGCATCATCGGGCACATCGTATTTTCGCTTAAAAAAATAGCAATTAGTAAAATGAAAGGAAAATAAAAGTAGATGGAAGAATAAATCTACTTAAAAACTTACCAAGACATACTCCCATATCTTATCTTTATGTGGAACTTTGTGCCATGAAGTACATGTCAATGGTGCATAACTATGGGTACGAGCTATTGTACCAAAAAACGAGAGAATTTTCCTACTACGTCCTTCCCCTCTATTATCGGTCCAACGGGTTGTCCATATTCATTACATATAATGACCTCACGTTGTTTAACTTTCCGTGTGTGAACAACATGTAACATTGTTGGTCCTCTTTTCTTGGGTGTAGAAATTACTACATTCCAATATAGAATTATATATATATATATATATATATATATATATATATATATATATATATATAATTTATGACAAACCAAAAGCATGATCAAGTAATGAAGTTGAACCTCTTTCCTTTTCTAATTAGGGTTCTTCTAATTGTTCTTCAAAAAGTACATCATCCTCATTTCCCAAATCTTCATCGTTTTCATCAACTTCAATCTCATTTTCACTATTTGCATATGTCAAATGGTTCATGTCTTCATAGTCATCATTTTGATCAACATCATCTTCTAACTAATGAGTAAATATAACACCAATAATAAATAGCAATTACCAAAAAATGTAACAAAAAAATGAAATATTCATTAAACTAAACAAAAGTACCTTCACATTGCACAATATGACCTTTATTGACATCATCTTTCAACCCAAATTGCTCCATATCAGCTGCAATAACATCAAAAATCGTAGAAATGTAAATTAATATAACATGTAGTTTTATGAGGTGACTTTGTTATTTCTCATTAATTAAATAAACATTTAGATTGACAAGAGACTACCTTGAGATATCTCATCATCCTCATCCTCATCAACAAGAGCCAATTGTCTCTTTGGTCCGCTTCTGATACAATTATGCTTTTCCGCTTTTTGTTTGAATACCTCCCTTCCCCTTTGCGGTCCTTTATTCCTCAAGATTAAGTCACCCATACTAGTCTTTAATCTAGATTGTTTTTCTTTTGTTGCATTCTAATGGATACTTATTCAAGACATTTGGAGCAATCACCCGACGTTGCCTTGTTAAATTAGCAAGTCTATTAATGGACATTGGTGCAATATATTGTGGACGATGTTGCTGTAACAAATTTACTTTTCATTATTGAAGATCAGCATCAAATAAAACAATTAAAGATTTGCTAATCTAATTACCTTTTTGGATACTTCAACACTTCTAGAAACTTCGTGGTAATCTCCATCATTATCATCACCCAAATCAAGAATATAGTCTGAATCTCAAGCACTGGTAGACGTTGGTTTCACTTGTTTTTTCTTTGGTTTTTGACTTTCTACCAAACTTGTCAAAGAATTTGCAATGCTTTTAACTCCTAAATCTTTTAGTCTGGCTTGGTTTTCTTGAATCCTCAAAAGTCTAATCTTCTCATAATCATTCATTTCTTTTTGTGCACTTTGATCTTGCTTGTTTTGTTTTCCCATTACCGGCCTGCTCAAAAGTGAAATTATCAATTCAAGTTCAAAATACATAATACTAGCATTGTAGTATCACTTACATGTAATTTTTTCCTACAATCATAAAATTAAATCAAAAAAAGAAACAAGAACCTGAAAAGTAAGGCACAATGCAACTCCGGTACTTACGATTAAACTGAATCGAAAGGAACCTGCAAAACAACCACACATGCACCTTTTGCTCAGAATCTAAAAATAAAATAAAAAATAAAAAACATGAAAATTATTCCACCAAGATAAACATCACATAATAAAATAAAATCTATCAAATATAGAAAAAATCTTTTTTTTTTCAGTTACCTTCAAAACTAAACTTTCACAAAGTATTGACTTATTATCACTTGCTTATTATTCAATGCATAAAATGACATGAAATAATTTAGGTAAACACAAAAAGTTTTAAGCATTAAAGTAACTTATTACTAAAATATAAAAAAAAAGTAAATATTAATACTATTGTTAGTATCTCAATGAGCCTCGTCTTCATCTGCTTCCATCCAATCCCATAATGTATCGTCATAATCAGAATCGCCTCCACTATCACTATTAGCTTCATCAGCCTCATCTAAATTTGTATTTGCATCAACTACAAGAGGAGGCATATCGTTTCTTGACAACTGAATCTCATGTTCACTAACTTGTGCAAAAGAATTGAACCTATCTTCATTAGGCTCGGACCAATACGAGCCACCAATAGTTTCACTGCTTTCATCTTCGAGGTCATAGATATCTCTAGGAACCCTATTGAGAACATAATGCAAAAAATCTTCTATAGGGTCTGCTACATAGAACACCTGGTTTACTTGGGAAGGCATGACAAAAGGATCGTCTGAAGAGCAAAACTTGTTGAAATTAACACATGTTTATCCATAATCATCTTTCTCTACTTGGTACCACTCACAATGAAACAAAACAACTTTGAACTGCAACCAATAGTCGAGTTCAAGTATATCCAAAATTCTACCATAGTAGTCAACATCCCCCACAGCTGGATTTTTGTCTCTAGAACTTGCAAAGCTAGGAGTTAAAGCTGTAATAGAAACACCACTATTTTGAGTATGGCATTTAGCATCTCGTGATTTGGTATGAAACCTATATCCATTGACATAATACCCGTGATATCTCTTTGAAGTAGGACTAGGACCTTTAGCAAGACAAAAAATATGATCCGGAACATTATTACTTTTAACTTTCTCTTTTAACCAATCGGCAAAGTCATGACTATGGTTTTGGGCGCGTGCCCATCGACTTTCTCGTGGTTGAGTGTCAATATAAACTTTATGCTCACTGCATCATTACGTAGACAAAAGAAAATTAAATGTGAATTAAGTTATATAATACATTTAATTTGAAGAAATGTTAGCTATAAATTGGTTACTTACTTGATATATTCATCAACTTGTGCACAATTAGAATTGAGTAAGGCATAACGATGTGCTTATTCCCTTAAAATAAGATCTAAAGTTATAAGCTTTCCTTTTCTTCGCTTTTTACCTCCAATAGGATGACCCTTATTGACAAATATTGGTCCACCAGACTCATTTTCTTCACCCATATCATCGACATCTTTTGAACCCCTATTAAGTCTTGTTTTTTACTCCATCATGCATATAAAGTGAGAAAAAAGTCAAGCATTCTTCAATCAAATATCCTTCTGCTATGGAACCCTCTGGACGACTCTTGTTTCGCGCATATGACGTCAACTTGCACAGGTATCTTTCCATAAAATACATCCATCTATATTGAACGGGTCCTCCAAGTCTAACTTCATTTACTAAGTGGATAGGTAAGTGCACCATTATGTTAAAAAATGTTGGCACAAATATTTTCTCAAATTCACACAATATTTGAGTTATTTCTAATTGTAATCTGTCAAGTTCCTCGGGCCTAATTACCTTGCTACACAAACTACGAAAAAAACCACCTAGCCTAATCAATGGGATTGCAACATGCTTTGGTAATGATTTTCTCACTGTAACTTGAAGCAAGTAATGCAAAAAGATATGAGCATCATGACACTTGTAACCCGAAAATTTCTTTTCTGAAGAATTAACACATCGGGAAATATTAGATGCACATCCATAAGGCAACTTTGCTTCCTTCAAAACACGACAAAAAATTTCTTTCTCCTTTGATGACATTGAAAAACATGCATTGTGGAATATAACATTCTCACCGTCTTCAGAAAGTTCTGGTTGGAGTCCTTCTTTAATGCCCAACTCCAAAAGGTTAAATCAGGCTTATACATGATCCTTCGACTTTCCACTAATATCCAACACAGTCCCTACCACATTATCAGTTATATTTTTTCGATATGCATCGGATCAAGATTATGTCGGGATTCAATAAATTTCCAATAGGGCAATTCAAAAAATATTGACCTCTTTTTCCATGGGCAATTGCTATCATTTTTTTCTTTTGTGTCTTCCCAAAGATATTTTGAAAGTTAGACAACTCTCTCAAAGCTGCATCTCCTGATAGGGGTTTTGGAGAAGGTCTCTTTTCAGTTTTACCATTGAAAGCACTCTTATTACGTCGCCATGGATGCTGAGCATCTAAAAACCTGCGATGATCCATATAGCATGTCTTCTTACTATGCTTCAGTTGGAGTGAACTGGTTTCATGATTACAACATGGACATGCAAAATTTCCTTTAGTTTTCCACCCTGACAACATGGAATAAGCTGGAAAATCACTAATTGTCCATGTTAAGGTTGCATACATTCTAAAGCTTTCACCTTTATATTTATCATATGTCTCTAGCCCATCAACCCATAATTCTTTCAGCTCCTCAATTAAAGGTTGCAAATAAACATCAATGTTATTACCTGGTGAGTCGGGTCCTAGAATTAACAAAGACAACATAAAGTATTCGGGTTTCAGTAACATCCATGGAGGCAAATTATAGTTAACTAATACCACATGCCAAGTGCTATGAGCAATGCTCATTATTCGAAATGGATTAAATCCATCACTTGACAACCCTAACCTTACATTTCTAGTTTCTTTTGCAAATTGAGGATACAAAGAATCAAATTTCTTCCAACTTTCCCCATCTGTAGGATGTCGTAAGTTTCCATCATTAGGACGTCCTTTGTCATGCCATGTCATATATTTAGCTGTTTCAGAGCACATGAAAAGTCTTTGGAGCCTTGGTTTTAAAGGAAAATGCAACACAACCTTAGCAGGAACATTTGAAGATTTTTTGGAATGCTCATTGACATGCTTACTCGCTTGTTTCTCATCAAATTGTTTTCACTTAGAGGTATGACAGATGTGGCAGGTATAATCTTGTTCATGATCCTTCCAGTATAGCATGCAATCATTCGGATACGCATGAATCTTTTTGTAGTCAAGCCCCAAATCCTTCACGATATTTTTAGCTTGTGTAAAACTAGTAGGAAGTTTTGCCTCTGGAATCACCTCTTGAAAAAGTTGTAATAGATCATTAAATGCTACATTACTTAGCCCATGAAGCATCTTGTAGAGAAAAAGTTAGATGATGAAAGATAGCTTTGTGAAATTTTTACAACCAGGGAACAACTCTTGCTTTCCTTCTTCCACCAGTTTATAGAACTTTTTGGCCTCTTCATTTAAGCCTTCTCGCACCATACTTACTTCTTCTCCCACATCTCTAAACCTATCATGCAATAATTCATCAATATTGTCATGCATACCAGCTCCATCATCGTCTATGACGACATTAGACATGGATTGTGAGGAGTTTTCTCCATGAAAAACCCATACATAGTAGTTTTCTACAAACCCGTATCCTTTTAAATGATCGAATACTTTATCCCTTCGATACCAATAACAGTTATTACACCGTTTGCAAGGACAACAAATTTGACCACCCTTTGCCACCTTAGCAAACGAGGCATTAAGAAATTCAATGACACCAGATTCAAACTCAGGTAACCGTCTAGGTAAGTACATCCAATCTCTAACATTCCCCATGTCTCTCATACCCTGAAGTTAATAGCAACATTAAACTATAGTGAAGAATAAAGATCTACTAGTTAGAAGCCAAATTGTTTTTGGGTAAGAAACATCAGAAGAACCTAGACGGTTACATAGCATTATATATGAGTTAAAGAATATTTATAGGCAAATATCGTGAGGTATTTGGAGACGACATTTTGAGTATGACCAAAAATGAGGTTTAAAGGCTTATTACACTTATAATTAGATGATACTATAAGCACTGATACTATTATGAACAATAAAGTTATCTAGAGGGTTGACTGAACTAATACTTTATGTAAAGCAAGAAATTTTGAGCTTATAACAGGTAGTAAAACCATCAATGCATGGATTGTTTGGTAGTTTTTTAAATGTAAGAGTAGTTTGGTACTTTTTTAAATGCATGGGTTGTTTGGTACTTTTATAAATGTAGGGGCTGTTTGGTACGTTGTTATGATGAGTTTTAGAGAGATGTTGCTTGGGATATGTTGAAGATTTAT